GGTGGTCAATGATGTACAACGGAGAAATGCTTTGTTGCTATGCGCCAGCCCGTAAATAAATAAATAACGCGGACCATTGAGAGATGTAGGTTTTGAGAGAGAGTTACTTGATGTTATACAATTCTTATGTTTCGTTTGGTTTCATTTAACAACAAGCAGATTTAACCACTTGAATTTGAAGGTTCAGGTTCAATTTGAGTTAAGTTCTTCCTTGCTAGTAACATCTAAGGAAATTAAAGCAAAATTACTCTGAATCGCTAAATCATCGTTAGACTGCAAATGCGTTTTCAAAAGAGTTTTTAAAAACAGAGATTTTTCATATAACTATTCTGGAGCAAAAGAGGAAGATATCTGAGCTTACTCTCAATTAAGAGGGCTTGCACATTGTCTTTCTGTTTCTCTGTCTTTTGAATTCGAATCTATTGATGCTTGATTCAGATTTCTGAGCTTGCCACAGATTTGCTGAAACTCGTTACTAGTTGAATTTCTGGTAAATGCATAAATCTGTATGTGCAATAGAGAGAGAGTTGTAAAACGTCAGTTATTCTAACGTTTTTCAATACGGCCAACTTATTCCTTCAAATCATAACCTATATTGGCAACACAAGCCTTCGGAAGATGCAATACTGAATTTGTTGATGTGCAAAGTGAAACATATAGATATAGAAGTAAATTTTGTCCATTTTCTAAAAATCAAACTGAATAAAAGATGTCTTCGTTTTCCTCCTGTCCTTAGACTGGGTACTTTGTGGATACTAAGCCAGAATTTCTCAGTAAGGAAGGAAGGTTGAAAGTGAAATAATAACTCCGCTGACCTAGTTGTTTATTTTATATCCCTTGTCGACAACTCCATTTTCATTGTCCGCTCTCATGGGTCTTCGCCTCGGTCCTGTGCTAACCCTGTTCTATCGTTGACTTAAACGGTAACGGGTTTCCGTGCTCTTCTTCACGATGCCGCAATCATTTTACATTCTTCTTAGATAATGCTGTACTCTAATGCATCATAAAAACAGGCTATTGCATCTACATTAAAAACATAGCAACATACGTAGCAGAACTTTTTATTACCAAAACCATAACTTTAAAAAACGCCGTAAATCTATGTCGTAAATCCTTCCCAAGTATTACCGATGAATATCATTCCTTAAACCACTTCAGACATATGAAAACATTTCTCAATCTTTTGGCTGTATCATTTCGATAACTTTACTGTATACAAGCGCGAAAAGTTGGGTACTTATGTCATCTTGTTCTTCTACTTAGACGAAGGCAAGAAAACTCAAATTTGCATTCAAACATATTAGCATAAGATATCAAAAGAAGCAATATCAGAGGTCGTATTTGGATGGAAAAAGTAGAAAAGTACTAATTATTTAGATTCTGGAAGAATGCAAAAAGAATCGTAACCATAGGTTTATCTCCTTTCTTTCTTATGAAACAAGCAATATCGACAGAAAGATGATTCAAGTGAGCGCATAAATGCTCTAATTCTCTCATTCATCGGAAATGTTGTGCCCATAAAAAATGATACATTCGTATACGAAAATCTTGAGTTTAGCAAAGAACAAAAACAATTAAAACTGCTGAAAAAATATGTATACTCTTATACTATGCAAAAACCAATGGCTCGACTTTCCACCGAGAATTACACTAAGTGTGTTGAATCGATAATAAACTCTTTCCGCGTTGAAAGGCTTTATTTGTCAGAAATGTTGCATTTTGAAGATGTAAGAACGAGGAGAAAGCTTACATGCAGAGAAAAGAGGAAGATCAAACTATGGAGGCAAAATAATAAAGATGAGTATTATAGGGAAAAAAGTTTATTTGCTTTTAGAAGAAATCTGACGTCGATGAAGAGCACATATAATTTGAATTTGCTTTCACCAATTTTTACACAATTTACGGGTATTTTCATGCTATAAAACGTCATAAATTGCATAGGATACCGGCAAATCGTAAAACGTAAATCATACTGTGGCGTTCGCGCATCTCACCAGCAAAACGATCGTTAGTAGAGCATAGAAGTAAAGAGAGAAAGTTCTGTATAGAAGTACTATGTAGGTCGGTGCTGTCTTTTGAAAAGATGGCACCCTGCGTCACCGTTGCTAGTTTGGCGATCCCAGTCGCCGACACTGGCGACCGCATCTTCGGTACGCATTAACTACTGGAGGACAACGCCAATTAGTGTGGGTGCCACCGTATCAGTTTGTGGCGCCTCAACCCTCAACTATTAAATGCTAAATCGAAGTTGCAGATATCGACGGCTGAACTTCCGATGCGTTTAGTTTGGGGTGAGATCTGCCAGTAATCGACATGTTGGCAGCCGCAAGCTACGTTACGTATCTGCGACACTATGCCAAAATCGGTGACTGCATTCTGATAATTAACTGGCGCCAAGCGCCAACAATCCACTTATGAGACGGATTTCTCAGCGACAGCGATCCAAGGTGCCATATTTTTCAAAAGCAGGGTCAACATCTATCCCTTGGATTTCATAAACAAGAGCTTAGAATGTCTATTTACGTTGTGTCTCTTATAAGCTTAGTTATCTTCATTTACTAGCAGCAATCTTTATTAAGAGGATCAATCTGCCTAAAGGAAGCGCATTTATTTTCATTTTATGATTTACATCAATGGTTTGTTTTTAGTGGCGCTAGATATACGAGTCTTATAGCATAAGATTTTGTATGCACACTTATTACTAATTCAATATACTCCATACGTTATTCAAAATTTACTACACACTAACAAGAAGTAACTGCAGTGTTTATTAGAGTAGGTTTCAGTCCAATTTATTCATATTTTCCGGGCTATTTTATACAATAGTTTCTCCTATGATATGCATGAGATGTCTGTCTGGAAATATTGGTTTAGATATTCAAGAAATATATGTTGATATTTTTACTATCAAGGGTGGGGTTTCTTAATAGTGGACTAACATTACGAATTTGTAGACATTTTTCTGTAAGCAATCTTACAGAAGCTATTATCCAGAACGTAAGTAATTGGACAAAGTAGATCTGATACTGAATCGGTAACGATTTGAATTTAAAATAATTTGTTAAAACGATGTTGAATGTTACGAAAAATATGACGGTTTCCACAACATTTTACGCTAAGACAATGGGATAAATAATTGCTAATCAGGTTTACTCCTAAAGCTTGCTCCTAAAAATGCTATCAATTCTATTTCGATTTTCCATACAACACTTCCTTATCCATTATGAGTTGAATGTTGAGCTCTCAGTTCTATGAATTGGGCTGTTTTTAGTAATAGGATTGGACACAACTCTGCACATGAATACGATTATCATAGCGGCACAGATTGTGTGCACACTGCTGTGTTCAGCGTGAGAGGGCAGCTTCATGAATATTTTCGCACAGAGAAGAGAAGTATGACAAGTAAACTTTAGCAGTGTGGTTATCGGTAAAATTATGGCACTATGCGTAATCTGCATATAAATCTCATAACTTCCAACATCGAAACCTAACCGCTTGTTGTTTTGACCAACGTCATTTCTCCTCCTAAGTACTACTACAAAACCCGGAGGCTATGAGCCGCATCCCTGCATTGTGACCTGAAGCAATTGTTACAATCAAATAAAATTGGGTTTATTTAGCTTTATTATTTGGTTTTGGTACGCTTTCTGCTATTATTCAGCAATATGCTGCCTTCTTCCAAAAATATTCATGAAATACAGTGTCTGCAAGTGCAATTGTGTGTCCGTATAACACTTCTACTTACTCTGTGTTGCAGGATTTCCGTGTCCTCTGCCTTTGTCTCGTATCGCTACTGGTTACTTGTCAGGTTTTGGTACGCTTTCCTTCTGCTACTATTTCAATCACGCATATATTTGCGCTTGCTAATTTGGACTATCACTTTTAGTCAAGCTTGGTTCACTGTACCATTCCTTGTTAAGACTTGGGATAATTGAGCTTGCTTCGGCGTATAGAGACAAAAACATTTTCTTTCGTATCTTATTTTATGTCGTACAATCCATTTGGCGTTTTTCTGCTAGAGCTTCGCTCTCTTCATTGAAGACGAGTGTTACTACATGGAACTCAATATTTGCTAGACTAGCACTTGAATACACTTCCATTCTGGCTTTTGGAATATTTCTTCAACACTCATTCATATACAAAGCAAGTAAATAAGCGCGATCAATTATGCCGACTAAGAAATGTTAATTAAGGTAAGCCATTAGGAGGAGTTGTTTGGCACATAGCATTAAAGCAAATTGCAAATGAAATGCTCTCTGTTCTGTAGCGTCCAACATTAAATCTGGGAGCTTGGAAAAAAGAAGAATGAGTTTTGATCCTCAAGTATTGTATTAGCGTTTTGTGAATTTTGTAGGATGGGGTTCGCCAACTTATGGAATGAGTATCGACCCTTACAATGCGGCTAATTCCTTTGCTATGGCTGGGTGAGAAAGCTTTACGGTCGAAAAGAAAGCCTGGTTCTAAAACAGAAAAGAAGCGAGGAATTTAGGATGATCGTGGATCCAGTAAATGGAATGTGCGTGGATACCAATATGCAGTGCCCAGTTTGGGCAAGCACGGGTAATCAATTTCCTTGTTGAGATAGAAGAATGATCAATAACTTGTCGAGTTTGTCAAATATTTGGACCATGCTATAAAGAAGGATTTGTTTTAGAAAATTTTTCTGAACGTTTCACTCTAGGCCAGTGTGCATCAAGTGCTGTCGTCATGCGTCGAATGTGTGCGTTGTCGTGCGGGACTTGTGCTCTAGGCGCAGAATATGGAGGTTATAAAAACCGTGAAATATCTTCTTTGGTTGTGCAGATTGTTGTTAGGATATGCAGTAGGAACGAGTCTGGGATATGGAGGCTATGGAATGACAGCGTTTCCTTCACCACTGCTTGGAAGAAGCATTTATGAAACAGGTGCCTCTACACAAAAACGTGCTCAGCATTTTCCGAATCTTCAAGATCTTGCAGTAGAAATTGCGATTATTATCTAGGTTCCAGAGCACAAATTCTTTCAATTTTTTTGCAGTAGCTTTTTCTTTAGAGTTTTGGTTTTTCTCGATAACGCACTTTTAGGAATATTGAGGTCACCCACGAAAACATCAATCTATCCAAAAAGTGGCTAAAGGAGTAAGCTGACCCCCATTAGTATGCTGCTGCCGGAGAGAAGTTGAAATTTGAAAACTTAACCGCGTCTTCCTGAGAAGCAGATTAGAATGGCCTATCCTCATTATATTTTTTAATTATTATCGCCGTTATGCTGTTTACGTATGATCTCTGTTTACCTTCTTCCTAGATCTATTCTTTAACAATGAAAAAAATAAGCAATCTTGCAGTTGTGTTTGGTTTGTGAATGTAATTTTTCTAAAGATTCCTTTAACATAAAATGTTTCATTTGTGTTTTCACACAATTTTCCATGATTTTTTAAGACGCTTATTGCTCCTCATAGTTATATTTTTGCAAATGTTGTGTACAAAATGAAAGCTCTTCCCTTACTTTGCAGCGCAGATATCCTCAGCATATTTAGATTCGTTTTTTTCATGGCGCTAAGAAATTTAGTTTTCCGTCAACAAAAA